TATATATATATATATATATATATATAGAAGTATATATATATATATATATAGAAGTATATATATATATAAATAAATCCTTTTATTATTTTGGTTGATAGGCGATTCAAAATAGTCATTTTCAACATATGTCATAACGAATGTCTCAACGATCATTGGATAAACGCGGCTCTTATTAACGAGGTAACGTTCTCTTTTGCGCACGATAGCTCTTGATTTTCTTTGCACTGAAAAGAAAACGTCATTGTGTTTAATTGCTATCTTCTTTCTGGCGATTCATGACAACCATTACTTTAACTTTTATTATTCCTTTTTTTACAAATATATGCTGACGATTCGACATACAATGTTTCTCTATTGCGCATTTCAATATCGTGGTTATCGATCGCTGTTCGGCTGAACGCTTAACGTAAGACAAATCACGCACATTTCCAAAGTCAAAAGATTTTCTAATGAGTTCGCGCCTTCCGCAGTACCCGCGAACTCTCATCTCGCGAACCTGAATCGTCTCCGTTGCTCAATTTGCGAATTACTTTTTCTTCTTCTTCGAGTCCGGAGCGATGTCGACCACGAGGCAAGATCCAAGACAACACTTTGAAGAGATTCCTAACGTTATCACTCGGGAGATATTCAAAATCCCCCTGTAATCTAGCGATATAATGGGGAATGTAAACCCGCATACACCGGAGAGCTAGCCCGCTCTGTTGATCTTATAAATATCGTGTACAAGGTGTGGCATCGACATATTGGTAAGTATGACGGGTTGCATACTCGCTTCGCCGACAGATGCGCGTGTTCGGGCACAAATGTAGTTGGAGCTTGGTGTACTCGTTTGCAAGACGGTTTACATTCATTTTTGTCATTAAAAAGAGCAAAAAAAAATATGAAAAAGTGTTGCAAATCGTTTTACCCGCCATATTGACTCGCATGCCGACGCGACGCCCAGTACATGTGATAATGCTGGCCGTACATATATTTACAAATACATACAAAAACACATAATATCTTCTTGTACAAGCCGATGGACTATTTGGCGATTTTGTTCCGCGCGTCTGCTGTGTGGACGAATGGACGAATCTTTGCGCTAATTCGGCAAACTCGAAGGAGAATTGCATCGTTCGCGCGCGATATATCAATTGTGTCACTCGGAAAGCATCGCTCTGCGAAATAAACTTGATACCACGGAAGACTGATTTTCTGTCGGACGTATTTATTACGCGGTGTTTCTTCGCAACCAGCCGCGTATCGTTGCGTGATTGTTGTCGATCCATCGTATGTTGGCTTCCGCCTGCTCCACCGCTTGGAGGACGGCTCGTGTCGCGCTGCTAAGCTCTTCTTTGTGCTCGATCGCGAACTCCAGCAGCTGAAAATATAACAAAAACACATGATGTAGCACTCTGCAAGGAGTTAATTTATGATAAGCGCAGTGAAAAAAACTCATTCGGCGAACGTGTTTACGCCAGGTATTTGCGTAATTCTTCAGCGTACGTTGAATAGAAAACAATTTTTATTAATAAATCTCACTTATTTTTATGTTTTTTTTTTATATTAAAAGTCAAGGCGATATCGAATTATTTTTAATCCAAAACTACATAAATTGAAGCGTAAAGGACGCGTAGGTTTGATTATAACTTCTTGGAACTTGTCCAATGAAATTATAATCGATATTCTCGTTATGTATCTCTTAGCTCAAGCTACTTTTTAACTTGTTAAATTACTTCCAAAGTGCAACTCACATCTTTCAAATCATATCTCGTGCTTATTCCTCTAGTAACCGACTTGGCAATGTTATTGACGGTTAACAGCGACGTTCCGAAGCTGAAAGTAAGAAAAGATTCATTTTAAGAAGAATCTTATCTGTAATAAGAGTAACTCAATGTTACAAAATCACGTAGCTATTCTAAGAAGACAGCTCTCTACGACACTAACAAATAAACAAAAGAAATGTGAGACCAATTTTTTAATCTCGACAACTCACTACTTCCTGAGGCGCGCCCACTTGTTCCTGAAGTAACTGAACGCGATCGGCTGTCCGACGACATTGTTGGCTACCGCGTTGAATACTCGGGCGGCATCCTGCTTCCTGATGCCTGTATTTTCTGTGACGCTCCAGTCCAAGTATCGATTTAGTAGCCACGGCTCCCTTGTGCAGCCTAGCGCTTGTAAGAGCAGATCCTTCTCCGATCCAACGTTAGTCGAGCGATATCGTTGCCAAGCGAACTCCCATTCGCTCTGTCCGCCTACTCGAATAGCCGTGCAATAAACGACGCCTTTCAGGTTCGGCGAGATTCTACAACGGTAAAGTTTCTCATTAGAAAAACATGATAAACGTAATTTCATTGATTATTATTATCAAAAGTGACAAAGAAGTTCCGGGCGCTTGAAAGTAGAAATACATAGTGAAATAGTTGGTTTGCAATATCCAACATATCGTCGGGATGAATAACACAACTCGATCATCCCAATCGATTCATATCTGGAAACGTCACGATGAGCTGATAAATAATTCATGCACTTGACAATGTCTCTTGTTATCGCGATACGTCGTCTCCACTTACGGATTATTGACGTCCGGATTAGGAGTATTGCGCCAATTGCGGAATTGTTGCACGGCATTTAGAAGGCAGTCCTCGTGGCCGAAGTCGCAAGCCCAATTTAGAACGTCAATTCGCGTGAAGACTGTCAGCTGAGGATCTCCCGCTTTGTCAGTAAAGCCGACTTGCTTATACACGTTATCCAATAGTTTTAACACGTATAACTGAAAAATATTCAATTATATCTATCGGCAGTTTTACAGTCTTGTTCGTCAACTTTTTTAGCAAAGGATACATTTTAGAAAGTTTTTCGAAACGTTATGACAAATTACAATATTTCAAAAGTTTCTCATGAACATATATATATCTTATCAGAAATAATCTTTGATATTTACCCTGAATTTATCATAGCCATGAGTTTTGATCAGCATGTCGTCGAGATAATTTAAAGCATTGAAGGCTGCCTTCCAAGGCAAATATTCTGTCTCGTGGGCTAAATAAGAAGTAACGTCGAAAGCGATGTTGTAGTCGAGCTTGCCGGCTCTAGCCAAATTCAGAGCGTCGTCGATCAACTGCGCTCGATTGATCGTCGAGATGTCCTTGAAATTTTGCTTGTTTAACTGCTTAATTATCATCTGCCAGTTTGTCCTGTCATAATTCACTCTGTAGTATCCTACCAAAGAAATCAATTATGTCGTTTAATATCACATTTATACGCTATGTATTCGCACTCTAGCAAATAGTGGACAAGCGAAAATTTTTCCAAAATTGATATTTTTAGATTATCAATCAAAACATTATTTTTCCCGAGCAGTCGCGATAACACAAGTGAAACACTTTTGAAATAAATCTATCTCCACAACGGAGAAATACAAATACCGCAATCGCGGATACTTGGCCGCGATGTGATTACCAGTTTCTTGCACGTTGAGAAGTATCCATTGAGACGGACTCACGTCCAAATCTTTCATAGTGATCGAGCGTTCCGCATTCATCCACTTTGAGGGTTGAGTGTTGTTGAAATTTAATTGCTTCTCGGTCGTATAAGTGATGGGTATCCACCATAATGGTTCCGAATGAGTTGTGACCGTCATGCTGCTGTTACGAAGCAGAAAGCGTTCCTACGAGAAGCAGATGACATGCGTAAAGAAAATCGTAATTGTCTAAATAATATATCTCTGTCACAGATTAGTGCGACAGATTAGATATATGGACCACACAAGGGTCATACTTTTGAAGAAGAAACACTAAACATTGTCTGTTTACGCGCTTCGCTCAGTTTATTTACCATTCACGTACCTGCGTGAGAGTCATACTATTGTTGTTGTAGTTTCGCGTAACGGTGACCGTGGGAAAGCCGGTTTGCAGAGTCCAAGTGTCCATGATTTGTTTGACGGTCACGCTTGAATCAAGTACCTTGTCTTTGTGAGCTTGCTCGGTCAAAGCGTACCACAAATCGTTCTGCTCGGCGCTTTGATAGGCTCTGCGGATTTAGCAGAGACATTTATTCGCACATATCATATATATTATATATAGAACATTATTACAAGTATCTTTGAAATCACTTGGAGTGCAAACAATTATAAAAAAAGTCTAAGATATTAATTTCTACTCACTTTGTATTCAAATAATTAGTCAGGCCCTGTTTGAAGACTTCTGTGGTGAGGAAATGATCCATCATCCTTATTATAGAAGCACCTGAAGCAATCCCGGTACGTACAATTAAATAAGTTGCGCGCAGGATTATGGTGTCATGTGAAAAATCGTCAAGTACCTTTGCCGTAGGAAATTTTATCAAAAATTTCACTGATTTCATCAGGATTGCCGACTTCGATAGATATAGGGTGAGAAGATTCCAAAGCGTCCAGAGCGAATACATTTTGAAGATCATGAACGACAAACTGTTCCAACACTCGCCACGATGGTTCCACCTGAATATTTTAAAAATATTAAATTCGCGTTGTTATAGCAATAATACGATGGATGCAATTTCTCGAATGTATTTGAGACGTCTAGGCTTATTTCATACCGCTAATTTGGCCATTAAGATAGCACGTTATTCAGAGAGACCACGTTAATTGAACTATCATTTTGATTTTATCGTTTAATATCGTCTTCAAACGATACTTACCGCATTCATGCCAATGTACTCGACGTAGCTGGCAAAACCCTCATTCAACCAAAGATCCGTCCACCAACTTGGAGTCACCAGATTCCCAAACCACTGATGCGCGAGCTCGTGAGATACCACGGTGGCCACGCGTTGTTGATTGCTACTGGTCGAAACGCCTTCCTGGTACAACATCGCGGTTTCCCTAAATTGACAAAATGATAAATTAGAGAAGGAAAAAAAAAGTACAATCGTTTATCTCTCGGCGAAGACCCAGGTGAATCTTATGTACCTGAAGCCGTCGGAATTCGTTCGGAAATATTTGTCGAAATAACAAAAGCGATAGTGTTTTATTTTACTCTTCGTGCAACAATTAAACGTACATGGCATGTCGGATAATTACAAACAACGTGGATAATGTATCTCATGACTTTACCTATAAGTGATCAAGCCCCAATTTTCCATAGCGCCGGCGGCGAAGTCAGGCAAAGCAACCATATCCATCTTTGGCAGCGGGAATTCGATCTTGAAATACTCCTCGTAGTACTTGAGTATCTTCGGGCCGATGATCAAGCTATACTTTGCCTGGTTAATGGCTTCGTGGCGCGCCCATACTCTAAACTTCCCATCTTCCGATTTCCGTTCATCGAAGTCGGAAACTATGAAGGCTACTAAGTACGTAGACATCGGCACCGAACGCTCATAATGATCCCAAACGTACGTATGTAAGCCAGGCCTGAAAGAGACACAATAAGAGTTTTCTAAGAGAAACTAATCTAAAAATTAATTAAGAAAACGCTGGAAAGATGTCAATTTAAATAGTCGCTGTTTACGTATTTAGTAATTTAGTATAATGTTAAATAATGTTTCTTTATTTATGAATTTTGCCTGTGTCAACTTTTTTATGAAAATGACAATTAACGACTTCATTTGGATAATGTAAGTTTTTTAAGATTTTTATTTTTAATTTAAATTTTTTCCACAGAAAAATTTTCAGAATTTTTTCAAAAATTCCAAAAAATTCTCCGAATCGCAAAGAGAAATATTCTCTGAGTGGAGAATAAAGATACTGTATTTCTGAGTTCAGTTGCGATCGCAAAACTTGTGTCAAAATCGCGAGTTATAGATCAGATTTAGAGAATAGCGCGACGGTAACATCACGATAACATCTGACGCGAAGGTACAATATAGTTACTCACACTGGCATCGGTTGCCCTCTCCTGGGCATATTCGAGATAGATGTCATGTTTCTGGGACGCGCTATGTTGATCTGGAACTTGGCTTTCAGTGCCGGCTCGTCGAAACAGGGGAAAGCACGGCGTGCATCTGTAGGTTGGAACTGAGTCGTGGCGATCCATCTATAATGCAGAACCGAGATACCTTTGGCAAACAGCCGACATGAGCCCTTGTTTGAGTCTGTACCTTATCTAAACACGCAACTGCGATGAGGTTGTCCGAAGGATAATCACTTTCGCGATCCATCCCTAACGAAAATACTTCGCTACGGTAAAAGCTCGATGGACAACGTTAGAAATGATAGTACTTAGCGTGATACAAACTACGCTCTTCTGAATTTAAATTAATTTCACATCCAAATTCTCCTCGTGTTATTTATAAAATATTAGTCTTAGAGACATAAACGTACCTATAAATTAATTTTAATTTTTGTAATTTGTCCAAGGAAACGTCACTGCTACAGCTGAATGGCATTCATGCCATTGCGATGCCGTTTATTTACCTCGTCTCATTGCCAACGGTGTACGAGCTTCTGTAAAAACCTTGCAGGTAATCGTTCAGGTAGCCGATGAACTTGAGATGCACCACGTATTGTTTGCCCTTCATCAACTTGTCCGACGTTCTAATCACGTAGATTTGTCGCTCAGTGTCGTTCCTCTGCTCCACGATTCCAACTACCTTAGTCTTGTTGTTGCCTATAGGTTCCTTGATGCTCGTGAAACCCCTGTCTATGTTCATATCAACGGCATGCATCGTGATGTTGTTCGTATTCTCCGTCACATTCACCCAAATTTTCACCTGAATCAAGTGATCATATATTTTCAAGAGTCGAAATATTGTAACGTCTATTTCCAACAAATTGCGAATACTACATTTTTTATCGCAAATAAAGCTCCCGATAAGCTCATCGGCGTTCGAGAGAGCATTCCGAAATACTAAGTATCATCCTGATTAACAAGGAAGTATTCATCATTTGTTATTTAAATATGGCCTCTTAAGGTTCTCTGAATGTGGCTATAGAAGTGCGAAACTCAATTTGACCCACAGTGTAGCCCCGAGATCAAACGCATTCTCTCTCGCTGGCAATTCGAGAGAGATCACCGGGCCGGGTCGGGAGGCACGGAAGAAAGTGAAAAGAAAGAAAACGAAACATTGACAGAAAGTCAGGAGATCGGAGCACACGTGATCCGCCTAAGCCTGTTCTCTCGTGTGGTATTGGCATATGAAAGTGAACGGTCGCGTTAAACGGCACGCGCGCCTCTTTTCGTGACGGCGGTGCAGGAATATACGCATGTATCGAATTGGGAATTAAGTACGTAGAAAAACAGCGCGCTTTCGATTCCAGCTAGAAAGTCGGCGTTGGTAATGACGGCCGAACCGGCTCGCACCGGTTCGGTCGATACGGCTTCGCGAATCGTGAGAAAATCTCACAAAAAGTAGAGGCGTCCCGGCGATAGCCGGCGCCGCGCGTTAGAAACGACGTACGATATTTCGCAACAGAGAGATGTAACACCGAAGTAAACGTCTATCATTGCTCGTCCTTAATAAAACGATCTTTCTCTCTCTCTCTTTCTCTCTCTCTCTCTCCTTCTTTTAGCTCTGTCAATCGATTCGTTAACAAACAACGCGCTCATTGCGAAACAGTATGTGCGTGTGTGTGTGTGTGTGTGTGTTATGTGTGTGCATGTGAACGCATTCACTGAGAGAAAAAAATAGTTGGAATAACTATAATCTCACTATATTTTATAATTCGTTTTGGCCTCAAACATATATTTATAGTTCATCTAAACATGAAGATATAGTAGAATGAACACAGATTATAGTCACCATCTTATTATTCTATATATATGGTAAAGCATCTTTTGAGAGTATAGTTACATGTACCTATATTTGCCAAATATTCCAATTGTATTGACTATATAAAATAGTTAATTTGACTATATAAGTATAAGTTAATGTATAAGTTAATTTGACTATATAAGTATTGACTATATAAAATAGTTAATTTCTCGTACCATTCAATATTTGCCACCTTACCATATTTTTTATTTCAAATAATTATAATTCTTGATAAAAATTTTACACGGGTCAGTTATACTATATTTATATTGTAAATATTATGGTAACATTTACTATAAAAATTATATTCCTAACTATAATATTTTTACTATGCCATTATAGTTCCAAATATCATACATTTTTCTCTCAGTGTTACCGAATTGAGAAATTGCATTTACCTCGCCGTGGAAGGTGAAGTTACCCTCCCATATGAACGGTATCAGCCATATCTCGTACGAATCGGGCACTACGGTTCGAGGAAGTCTGACGTCCACCTTCTTCTTCGCGGGCGTCGCCGAAAACTTCCTCGCGCTCACTAAAACCGAAATATCTTCTGAAAAGTCATCGCATTGTTTGGCTTGCTTGTCCTCGAGGCAGGGCGCAAAGTGGTACACCAGCAGACCCGTGGCGACCAGACAGATGAGGAAGAATGCGCCCAGCAGGAAGGCACCGCATCGGGAAATCGTGCAGCCCCTCTTGCGTCCGAACGTGGTTGTGTGCGCGTCCATCATCGCCAGGACCTCGCGAGACTGGGTCATATCACGCGCGAGCCTGAGAAGAAAAGGATTGTCAATGCCCGCGCTCTGCTTCGCTTCACGCCAATTATGACCGGTCTCTTAATGCGACTTCAATTGACATTATTTCTCACTATCTGCCCTCGTGCGCAATCCACCCGCATTGTTTCCCTACGTTTCAATTCTCATTGCGACATTACTATCTTTTAGCCTTTATTATTTAGTAATCGCCTGCACGGAAAAAAAGAACGTAATATATGGACACCTATAAAATATTGCTGCATTAGCTACTCGAATTTTTGGTGCAGGAGCAAATTCTTTTCGTACAACAGCAACATGTTCTAACAACTTGATATTATATTGGTCGATCTCACAGCAATAAAAATTTGCCGTTGCAGTGAAAAAATTTGCTAATGCAGCAATATATTTTAGATATCCATATATTACAACTATTTTAGTTGCGACAAATAACTTTTTTTTCATGTGTGACTATTTAAATGTATCGGGGACAGCAATTGGACTTTAAAATGCCTTCTTATCTAAATTCTTCTTTATCGATAGAAGTGTCTCTCTAAAAGTGACTTAAAAGTGCTTTCTGATTGGAATTTAGTCACATTTAGAGGCATTTTTATCGATAAAAGAGAGTCCAGAATAATGAGTGCCTAAATCCATCCAGTGACGAAATCGACTAAATGTGTTTGCTTCTTCGGGATTTTTGCTTCGGTCGTAATATTGATTATTAAAAAGGTTCGATAAACAGCAGCAGCTTCTTTCGAGCAGATCTTCTCCGCGAGTGCGAGTTTCACCGAATCCGCTTTCGAATCTGATTTTAATAATCGCTTAAATCAGAAACGGAAATTCCAAAACCCATCTTATTAGATGCGATATATTAGATGTAAGCTCCATAAATTACTTCGCGCTCATTTATCTGTAGCCACGGCCAGTATGCATCGCGTATTACAGGGCAATGTCGTTATTCAAACGACGACTCATCTAAACGCTGCCGCAGAAGGTCGCGCGATGTTTCTCAGCCGATGCTTACAAAACAGACACGAAGGTGTCAGTGATAATATACGCGTCTGCGAAAGTGATAGTAATGAGAGGATTCAACTCGTTTCAAATTCATACGCACACACTCATCAATACTGCATCCATCATCACCGTCAACATTGTCGACAGATAGACATGAAGAATGTTCTAATACTAACCGCACTTGTTATTTTGTACAAAGAACTAGAACTCGTTCGTCACCGTTTACGTAGACTTATCGTGTAATTGCTGCCTAGACGATATGAGTGCATATCGCGTCGTTACAAAAAACACGCGTACTCGTGTACCGCTTTCAACACTATTTTTTTTCACGTGCAAAGTTCGCAAAATCTTTCCAATATTAACGCGTAATTCCATACGCAAAATTATTCAACAACAAGCGCATTACATTAGTTTCGCAAGTGCGATGTTGTCTAAACGTGGGAACCAATCAAGATAGAAACGGAAAAGAGATGACGTAAAATCCACGACTGAGTTAATATTTTACCTGGACGCCCAGCAAATCGTTTAAGTCTTGAGATCGAGGAAGTGTCTGACCACCGACAAAGCCGACGGGGAACCTGTAATTGTGCGCGCGGAAACAAAAATTGACGGCAATTTTTGCGAGTTCACCGTACCGAGAAAACTTTTTGTCCCACGCAAACCGGGTGAAGGTAACCGATCATTGAAAGTAATTTCACGTTCCAAACGCTCCGAGTGAGCGTGTCAAGGAAACGCGACTGGCGTGCCTGAATTGATGTAAGCTTCTTGCACCGGCGATCTGTCGTGAAGTAATCTCGCAACAATCACAACACAATCCTGCGCATACTAACCAAGACGGCAACTGCGTAACTTGAATAAAAGACGGCTTTGATGATACCAGCCGGTGGCGCAAATGAAATGAAATTGGCAACAATTTTCCCCTATAAATCACGCGATGCAACTCGCGCCGTGCGTTATGCCAGAAATTGTAAATAAAGGACGAGCAGCGACTTCGCAGCGGGAAAATGCACGAAGCAAGAATTAATCAGGATTTATTTGCACGATTGCGTAAACGAGTCTCGTGTTGATGTTTATCCAATTACGCTGCGTATTATATCGCGTGTAGAACGTTTCGCGTTTAATTACAAGGTGGATCGTGATGAGAAACGTGTGAATTCTTGTGCAAATTAAAATTCGTGTGCTCTCTCATTGTTTTATAATTAATAGAAAATTCTCTCGTACATCTTGTAATACATAGTAATAGCGATTATAGTAAATAGCAGCACACATGATATAATTGATTGAAACAAAAATTGTCGTTCGATCGATTAAAGCGATGCAAGCTGAACGTCTGTTCGCCATAGTTGTATAGAAGGAATACACGATGATGTCAACAGTGCGCGTTCTCGCGCACACTAACTAATTTCTACAAATGCGTTCGAAAGGCACTGCGAGGAACACGACCAGCAAACTTGTACCCACCAATCACTAAGACAAACATCTGTCCACATGTTTCCCGACAATTTACTTATCGCCCGTAAATTATTCGCGCGACGCGCCTCCGCGTTGCCGGCGAATTCGCGCGCGCAGAATAATCGGCGAGTTTCACGTCGTAAAAAAATGTAGGACATATTTGAGGAGCCTTTCGACGGCGATTTCGCATCTCCGTCCCGTGTAACTGCGAAATATCATGCATACGCCTCGTGTCACTTAATGACAAGATTTATCTGTGACGTTTATCTGCGGTTCCTCGGACAGGTAAGATGATTGCAGATATCCTGGAGACTCTCGGTCGCCGTTATTAGCGCCGCAAATTGCAAAAAGCCTCTCGGCCAACATAGATCTCATATCGTTTCTGCGCGTAACAGAACGCGCATCCTGTCATTTTATCTTTGTTTTATTTTTGCCAATAAATTACGCGAGAATCTCAAATTGTCGTGCAAACGCTGCTAGCGCGTCTCTCCAAAGAACTTGTAACTTCTGTCCATCAACTTTGTCCGAGGAGAACTGATAAACACGGAACGACCGTTACACAAACGTTTAATCCGCCTGCGAGATTACGTGTCGTCAAGTCGAGCATTGTTCCTGAGGCACAATGAAGCGATATCCGTAATGAAACATTACTGATCGCGATAGATCGGAATGTAACGGGCTGCGGCCAAGTTCTCGCGCGTTGGGCCCGAAGGATCCAAAGGAAGAGACCCACGTTGACGGTTAGCCGATATGATCGTGACGAAATTTGTCCTCAGTGACTCCGGGCACTTGGAATCCACGCGGGATAACAATCAACGAGGAGAAACCGGTTCGAGAACGGCCGGCAGGATGAACTTCGATGTCGCCACCTTCTTCCAGATCGCACATCCATTTCCTACGCGCACAGTCGCCTACGTGCATTTTAATTACGATGACGAAGCTACAGGTTAGTCACTGTAATTAAGCAGTGCACGCGCGCGTCCGTCAGTCACTGGACGGCGAGTCCCAATTTCCAAAGCGAAATTGACTTCGCAAAGTAAAGCTGCGATCGATATAAGCTGCGATCTCGCCACCGAATGTTGAACTCACACGTTGACTTTCGACTTCGTGGTCGCCGGTGGTCCCCCTTATACCGCGACACGTCGTACCATCGGCCGCCGATCGACGAACAGGATCATCAACGTCAGCACCAACGAGAGCGCTCCACACCGCTCGATGGTTCACGCGCAACTGCCAAGGAGCAAGGCGCGATACTGCCCGGTCGCTTCCTCTCCTCGTAATCCGGGTTTCCTGGCCGATCGCGGTGTCGGCTTCCAGCGGCGACGGTGCGGTGCCCTCCACCTGGCGGTCTTGTGTGTGCACCCACCTTCCTGGATCGCGGGATGCCATACGATCGGTTTCCGGTTCGTTACCGGAGGGTTCGCCGTCTGCGCGATGCGATCGATATCCGGCGGACGACGGAGCGTCTCGCTCAGGACGCCGTAGGACGCATCGTTCCGAATTAACCCAGATCCAGGATCCGGGTTGGCCCACCAGCCGTCCGCCTCTCCGCCGCGATTTCCGCGGGCCGTATTGGAATCGATCTTTTCTCTCGGCGACCGTCTCCGAGCAGAGCAACGTCCAGATCTCTTCGGCGCTCAGGTGCTCTCACGCGGTGAGCTCACACCGAGAAATTCTACGGAGACGAGGATGAAGAGCACAATGAGTGAAGAAAGAGCATTCCTGCAGAGGAAGATCGTGGGACTATCGTCGACCGGTTTAGACGTTTCACCATTACCAACGCGGCCGTTTCCATCCATTTTCCTAGAGATATCCGTTACTTCTCAGATTATCGGCCTAGTCTCACTTTCGTTTAGACCTGTGCATTAAAAGTGTCGTTACTTGAAGTTTATCTCGCGTGAGACACTCGGATTTTTATTCTAAATTAGATCTAGGGGTCGATTGTGTATGAAACCTAAGGAAAATCACAAAAAGTGAACTGTCGCTTGATTGGGTAACTTTTTTCATAGTGAAAATGCGATATTCCTCACGTGAGATTGCTCGGCAAGAAATTCCATGTCGAATTGTGTCAAAGACCGCATTTCAATATTTACCAGTACTGAAAATTTATAGTATATGTAACATAAACTATAGATTTTCAGTGATGCAGTAAATATGGGAACACAGCCAAAGTGTGAAACGTATCTCGAAAGATGAAAAATATATTAATATTTTCGTAAGCACTTCTAAAGCATTATAACAATTATGATGATACTCAGATGAGATACTCTATATGAGATACTCAGATTTAAGCTCAGAGTTAAATGAGACTCTTTCAGTTGAATCGCGATTACAGATATAATATTACATGTAACATATAATTCAACTAAAAAATTTGGCTCTAATTCTGAGTGAAAATCTGAATATCTCACGTGAGACAAACTTTAAATAACGACTATTAATACAGGTTAAATAACGACTATTAATACAGGCCTTAGTCATTCGTATAAACGGCTTTCTCTATTAATAATGAAGATATTAGATGGATGAATAAGCTGTTTTGCAACCAATGTACGACAGTCTCATACGTTAAATAGGATTGCTAACGTGAATTGCGAAAACATCTACTCGTGTTTCGCGACGGAAATAACCGAAGCCAGCCAGCGAATTACAATGTCGTGTTTACAAATAAACGTTTGCACGCTAATAACCGCATATTATTATTCGACCACGTTGGCAAATAGCCCCAGCGTATACTGCGTAATTGTTTCAAACGGCCAAAGTTGTTTAACCGCAGAGTACTAATAATCACGATGGTTTTCAGATGAGAATTTGTTGGTACCATCAATCCAGCCGTATGCGCGCAGGATGCGCGACGCAATCTCGGCAGATTAGTCAGTCATCGAGAGCGGAAGTAATAACGGCACGAGCCCTGTGGCGTTTTCCTTGGGAAAGTAATCCTGTCACAAGTAATTCTAGAAAACTATGAATGCAACGTTTACTACGAAGTCACAGCGTGATTCACGTCACACCTCAGCGTGCGTCAATGCGCAACGCTCACTCCGAATACTTGATAAAGCACGTAATTTATCAAAAACATGATTTTCCTTCTTGATACTAGTGACTTGCTTATTTCATGCTCGACTCGACGACGCGGAAAAACGCTTGTGTCTCAAGTAGGAGCGTTATCGGATTTCAGGAGGCGAGTACACGGGACGCGTGTCTCCTCCGCTCTTCCGTAATCAAATTTACATCTTCAATAACATTATTTGTAGATACAAGTGTACACAATCAACGCATCTCTTGTAATAAGGATCACGCGTGTTACGCGGGGAACCAGAAATATTCTTAAAATAAAACCAGGAACGCGCGAGCTCTCCGTTGAACCGAGCGATATTTTTTCAGCAATTTTTCATCAGCAACAATTTCCTCGTTGGCGTTCAATCGTCACGCGCCGATAACGAAAAAATGGGTTTAACGATAAATGTCGTAAATCTTGACCAAGTAACCTCATCATGAAAATAAAGAAATATATAAATTTATTAATGAAAACTAAGCAATCATTATATGAATGTCACAAATCGATACGGAATCATGAATGTGTTCATGAAATCATTAATCCGCTACTGGCTTAAATATGGCAATTTATTGGCTAATGACTCATATTTGCACTGTTTAATATATTTTAAGCCAAGTTATAACATTAATGCTATTTTTTTACTCTATAATAAAACTATAAATAAGATACTATATATAATATATATAATAATATATACTATATATATAATATTATTATATATAGTATAATATATATTATATAATATATTATATATAGTATATTATATTATATAATATATTATATATCTTATTATATATAGTATTATATATAATATATATATAATACTATATATAATATATATAACTGTAAATAAGATACTATATAAGAACTATAAATAACTATATATAATTATAAACCACACGTTTCTTTTAGAAATAAAAACGTTTATATCATTTACCTCATATTCAATTTGTCACTAATAGAAACAAGTAAAAGTATTCTAATACCAATGACATATATGAGTTAACTACAAAATCACACATTTTGTCGCTTTCTCTACTTATAAGACATTTTTTAATTTTTTCTCAACGTTGGTATAACCATTTCACTGGCTTAAAGTTAAAAAATAACACTGCATAAATTTAACAAATATGATATATATGATTACAGATATAAACTGTCAACTTGTGAGATGTCAGCGAGTAACCGTTGAGCTGTCGTCGTCAGCGATATGCTTGTAAAGTGGTGATGCTCTTCAGAATTCACTATGACTTTAAATTTCATTCGAAACTTGTTGTAACTGATAATATATCAAATTTAGAGTAAGAGCACACCCATACAACGTCTAAAATCAGGACATAAAACATCTTAAAAACGTCTTAACGAGGTCTTATATTCTTAAAGACGTCTTTAAAACGTCTTTTAGACGTCTTATATCCCGATTTGTGTTGAATGCGCACATTTTAGTCTAATTATAGACCAATATAAACGGACTTATTAAAAAGACAGATACAACTGTCACTAATTAGGACGTTCACCTTCTTCAATCTACGCGCTGTTTGTACCGGCGATCGCGCAGAAGCCGCACAATAGCTCTGAACGTTCTCTGTCATTCTCTCGCGAGAATTTTGGACCACATGAGCACCTGTAAAAACATTGAGAAACGGTCGGGCGACGAATGCGTCTATATAAACGCGTAGTGCGACGGCAATGATTATCGCGTCATAGTGAGACGAATCACTGGGAAGAAATCAGTTTACGTGCTCGTTATCGTGCGATTGAAGTTTACGAGTCCTACCTAAGCGGCGACCAGCGCGAATTACATGTCGCAGAGAACAGGCAGAAACGAGCCCTTTAATTCCGCCGACTGAAAATCGATGAGAACTAAGGTCGGAATATCAGTTTGGTAAGTGTCTAATAATCCTATAAATTATCCGGAGGGGCTGGATAATTGATTTAGGCGAACGAGCGTCCCTAATTGATTGAAATCATCCGCGTCGGCTACGAGGGTCGGTAGCGCGCGATTTGTCACACACGAGACCCGGGATATTATTGAATCTTGTCTGTGTCGGCGCGCGCACTGAGCGATACAAGTGCGAAAGTGAATTAACCCAGAACTCCACTTTCGAGCACGCCGCGCCTCAGACGCGGGCTTGCGAGAAATTAATAGGGACGAGTATTCGCGCGAATTCCTCATTCACGATACGTAGCTCACGTAATGAAGGTGCTTCTGTTGAAAGAGTCGCCGATGGTGGCCGCTGGTGAATTTGATTCTGCATTTTCCTCTCTCGCGATCGACGGTCGTTCCGAAATAAAACGCCGAGAAGCGCGTATCGATAGCCCCGTTGAACCCGGCCACCTCCTTGACGCAATAACGTCCACGTCCAGGGAGCGATTGTTACGAAAATGGTATCCTTTAAATCGCGGGAGATACGAGTCGCCTGTACTGGCCGGAGCGCTGTGTCATTTTTCATTCATGTCGTTTGGCAGCGCTCCTTATCGTGGCGCCGCATACATGCCGAAGGAGAGCGAACGTCGCTATTCCATTAGCGGCAAGAGACTCTTATTGGCTTGACGTATTTCGACGATCAAATTCCCGTGAGGGGCGAGAGGTCCATGAAAAGAGAGCGGTGGTGGTGGTGGTGATGGCGAAGGAGGAAGAGGAAGAGAAGCAAGAGGAGCAGGTGGAAGAGGAGGAACGCCACATCAAATTTCTTTCGCCGGGAAGCTCTCGAGATCTGAATACGGGCGAATCGAAAATCCCGTTGCCGGGACACAGCCCGGGTAATTCAACACCGTGAACAGAACGAAGACATGGTCCATCTACGTCGTGCTGGGGCTTGGGTTACGCTTCATTGTGGTGTACCCTTACAGAACGGGACACCGACGTATCCACCATTGTAATCGAACGTAGCCGGTACCTATGGCAACGTAAACGAAACCCACGCCAACCCACTCTCCTGCGGCGGACCCGAAAATTTCTCGGGCTTCTTTCCCGCTCGGGTCATCCCGCTTCCTTGAGCGTTTCCTCTTGGCCTCGACGTGTAACACAGGATGTATGGTGGTGGACGCAATTTGGCACGCTCGGCGATATTCTTCGTCGCGGAAGATCGATCTCTGTGCTCGACGAAGGGCAAGGTTTTCTCTCTCTTCGCGAATTATCACGAGAATACGTCCACTTGGTCGTAATAAGCTCTTGCATTCTTTACATCTAATCATAGTAGATCGCGCTTTGATCAAATATTTAAGCGGCATATTTGAGGGAGTACACGGAGAGAATGTTATAGTTTCTTTTTTACATAAATTCTCTTTTCTTCTTCTTTGAAATTTATTGAAGAATTGAAAAATTCTTTTCATATTTACTATGTTTCTAGTAGTGCAGGAATAGACAAGGTCAGCAAAATCTACCTCGAAGCATTGTGAATTTCACGAGATACGTAGCAAATTTGTTAATTGCCCTTTTCAGTTTTTGAAATATAAGCAT